CATATATATATATATACTGCTTTTGTTACTAATTGCCGTTGAGTTGGTTCAGACTCACAGTGACCCTGTATAGGGTTTCTGAGGCTGTAAATCTTTGTAGTACCAAAAAATCTCATCTTTCTCCTGTAGAATACCTGGTGGGCTTGAACTAATTATCTTATGGTTCACAGTCCAGTGTTTATCATATGGAGCCACCACACTCCTCATCTGTATATTTTATTGGTGTTAAGTGCTGTGGAATCAGTTTTGACTCATAATGACGCTGTATAGGGTTTCCAAGGAGAAGCTGGTGGGTTTGTGTCATGGACGACATACACAAGCACTGAGAAGCTGTGGCCCTGTAACAACACGGACAAAAATCCAACCTCGAGGCCCTCCTCAGGATTGTGAGCCATGGACCCTGAGGGTCGAGGAAGTGATCTCCTGACGTCCCGGGTTCATAGGCACTTTCAAACTCACTGGCTGGCTACACTTGTACAATTTTCCTTATCTTTACTGTTGTTTATTCTGTATTTGTTCTTTATGCCTCTAACTCCAGTAATTGTAGCTTCTGGGAAAACGGTCCCTTTTGATGTACACAATGCCTCTGTTAATGGCTGCACTGTATTGGTAGTGTGTGGGGTCCTGGGAACAAATCTTTCTGAGGAATAAGCAATGGCCACCTGGGATAAATGTCAAAACTGCTCCTTATCTAACTATTCAGTTATGTTTGATATTAACTTGAAGCGTGAGCTCTTGATGTCCATGTACAACTATAAGACTGAAACCCCCTCTAGGGCTGAGACAATAAAACTTCCTCAAATGACTTGGATAGAACAACAACAGGTATTTGGGGATTATGAAAAGCAGTTATGGAGAAAGCAAGAGAAAGGCCTTTCCATGAAATGGAATAGCAGTTTCTGGGAATACTTAATTAAGGACAAGTAGTGGCAAGCCTCACCAACAGCCCTTGGATATAATCAGTTTGATCCTGATGAAGAAGAAGAATAGAAATATGATAACAATTGAGAGCTAAGAGAGTAGTAATAAATCATAGGTAAAAATATAACTAGATATTTTGTATAGAAAAGTTGGTATAAGGAAGCTGTTCCATTTCTTCTTAACTACAAAGCTTTATACTTCTTGTTTAAATATTCATGAGAAACAACTGTGTTGTCAGTTACCATAGCAAGTAATGTTTAGGTACATGTTGTGATTAATGATTCTATAGAAAATAATAGGTGAAGGTAAAAATAAGATTTAAGATTTATAATTATGTTTTAGGGTTAACTTAACATTCTAGATGTTAGAAAAATTAAGGTGTTTTAACAAGATAATTGTATAATGTTTCAAAGAAATTGTGTATGAGATCATTGTACATGGTGGCAACCTCCTCTGACTGCCCCTGGGCATGATAGTTTCAACCCTGATGGCCCCCTCCCTAGAAAAGGCGGATGGAAGTGTGATCATAATTCAAGGCACTATCAAAGTTGGATCTGGGCCCCAAGCAAGGAAAAGGAGTCTGACTTAGAGATCTGAGCTTCCCAGTTTGTTTGAGTGTTGTCAGTAATTTACCTTAGAATTACAGAAATAGATAGGACAAAATAGATAGTTTAAAAGAACAAATTCAATGTATGAAGGCCTGTCACCTTAGCACAGATGATTAATGTCTGCAGTATGCACAAGCAGAATTAATACAACTACAGAAAGCTTAATATAAACTTTAGTTAACC